TTTTCCTTTTTGTTTGACCTTCCATAAGTTAACCTCATTAACAATATGGATAAAATCATTTTAGTACCTTGTGTTATAGTAAAATATGCTCTTGATATTCTGTCTTTTTAATAATATTAAAGCGGTACCTGAACGTTTTTAAAAATATTTTTTAGTACTTTTAAACTAATTTTTGAGATGTAAAATGACTTTAGTACATTTCTATTTAATTAATTAAACACTTATACATCTAAAAAAAATCATTTAACTTTTTATTTTGTTGTTTTCTTTTAAATATTTTAATGTTTTAAAATGTTCATTTTTTTTTTTGAAAAAAATATTGATTTCTATTTAATTGATAAGAAATGTAGTTTAGACATTACATGTCTTAAAAATTAGTTTCAGGGTACCGAGAAGATATTTTTAAAAACCTTAAGGTATCATTTTAATATTATTAAAAACACATAGTACTAAGAGCATGTTTCATTATAATATAAGGTACCAAAATGATTTTATCCCTTAATACTAATTGACATGTAAAATTTTAATGAAGTGGCAATATTTCATTGGAGAGACAACAAAAAAAAACATAAAAAAAAACAACAAATCTAAACTCTAAACGAGGTGGAGACGGGCATAAGGACTAATATTAGCCTCCTAAGCTTGGACAGAGTAGATCCATCACAACCTAAGAAACATGTATTATATGTTCTTAGTTGTTCTGATTGTGAGCTTAGATTTGGTTTTAAGATTTTTTTTTATCATGAGATGTTAGTGACTATATTGATTAATTTTATATTTTATTTTGTTTAGAATTTTATGTTTTAGGTGACATTTAGTTCATTGGTTTAAAACTATAATTTATAATTCTAATTTTTAAATTTTAAATTTTTATTAAAAAAAATACTATAATAGAATTAAGAATCATAATTTTAAATCAGATATCACTCTTAAAATAAACGTCACTGAGAATTCTCATTGTCCTCGAGTGGTTACGGGGCAAAAGCGAAATAGGATATAGAGATTGGGAAAACATAAAAAAAAAAAAAAAAAAAAAATGATAAATCCAATACCATGAGGTTCTCTCACATCTCAGGTGGGTCCACAATGTGAGAAAATGTTGGGTTTTAATAGGGCTACTCGTGAAGCATACCCTCCCCTCTCCACTCTCATGCCATCTCTAAGAGTATGTTTGGTAGGAAAGAAAAGTAGAAGGAGGAAAGAAGGTGAGGAGATTTTGAGAAGAAAAATAAAAATGTAGGTTGTTTGGTAGGAGAGAAAAGAGAAAGGAAGAGAAAATAGAGTAGAAAATAATACATGTGGATCTCATCATTTTTTTTCTTTCCATAAGTGGGCAGAAAATGGGGACAACTCATTAAAGTGAGCAAAGTTACTAAATTACCATTTCTCCATCAATATCCAAGCAAAAAATTTAAGGGTATAAAAATAATTTATGAGTAAGATTTTTTCTTTCCTCCTAATTTGACTTCCAATACCAAACAAGTGAAGGTAAGCTCATTTTCTTTCCATCTTCTCGTACCAAACAACATAAAAGAAAATTTTCATCATTGCTATTTTATATCACTTTTATATTTTTTTTCCATCATATTTTATTTCTTTCCTACCAAACATAGCATAAGAGTGTGTTTGATAGGATGGATTTGGAGAAGGAAGGAAAGGTGTGGAAAGAAAGTTGGGATACATCCACCATTTGGTACGACGGATTGGCCAAAGGAGAGGAAAGGGGCAGGGGCTGCAAATCCCTGGGCCCACTAATTTTTAATCTGTCAACATTTGGTAGGTGGAAAAGAGAGAGAAAAAAAATAGAGGAATGAATTTGTAGAGAAAAATTGAATTTTCGTTATTTGGTAGAATGGAAATGAGGAAAGAATGAAAATAAAAATTTATGGGGTTCACTAATTTTTAATCATTCTTCTAACTTTAGAAAGAAACGAGGAGAAAAAAAATTTGACAAAAACATGAGATGTAAAATAATAATTTTAACATTCACCATTCATCATATTTTTATTTGTATTGGGGTATTATTATAAAATGTCTTAAATTTAACATTTTCTTTTCACTTTTTTCTTCTTCTACCAAACAACATGAGAAAAAATCAGTTTACTTCATTCACTTAGGTATTTTACTTCTCTTTTATTCATCTTTTCTATCCAGCATACCAAACATAGCATAACACTCTGTTTGGTAGGAGGGAAAGAAAACACATAAAAGAAAGAAAATGTGAAGGAAATGAATGAAGTTGATTTTTTGTTTATAGTGTTCGGTATAATGAGAGAAAGAAAACATGTAATAGCCTAAATGACTATTTTATCAATTGTTTAATATTAATTTAGATTTTAAAATAGAAACACAAAAGTAAATTTAGCCATCAATGAGTGAAATTGAGTTTTCCTTCTAATGTTAGAGAGATAAAAAATAGTGGCCCCACCATAATTCTTTTTCATCATATTTTCCTTTATCTCCTTTATTCATTCTTACTAAACAACTAACTCTATCATTTTCCATCAAATAATCCCTCTACTTCCTTCCTTCCACTTTTCCATCATACTCACTATTATGCCCTTTTATGTCAATTTTTTTAACCTTAACGTGTTAAGTTTTTCTTTGTAATGTTTTTGTTTTTGTTTTTTTTTGTTACTGTTAGCTTTTCTTTATAGGTTCCGTTCATTTCACCGATTCAAGTTTAGAATTTGAGTTTTGTTACAGTAAAAAGCTTTCAGAAACAGTCACATCTAACCTTTTTACCACAGTAAAAAGCTCTCACATAAAGTCACATTTCAACTCGAATTAAAAACTTAAATCAGCGAACTAAACTAGCCCGTAGTTTATCTATATACATTAATGTTTATTGTTTTTATATATAGTTTCTTTTAGGAATCTATTTAACGTTGTTAAATGTTGTTATATATCTATTAATATCATTTATATATTAAGAATCGAAATTATTAAAATTAATAACTTGAATATTAAAAATTATAGTTGAAGAAAATAAGTATAACACTATTAATAATTAATTAATAGACATCCTAAAAAAGAAAATCAATTTATTTTTAATGGACAATATAGTAATTTTATGAATCAAATTCATCCTCTCATCCTCCTTTCTTTTCAATACTGAATAAAGTAGAATGATAACAACAACATTCCCTCCTATCATACCAAACAACTTTGAGAAAAATTACAATCACTCCTTCCCTTTTTACTCCATTTTTCTTATATTCTATCAAAATTTTCACCAATCCATTCCTACTACAAAACAGACCCTAATAGAGGAGACATTTGCGAGCGCATGACAATTGACAATAAAGATTGATGGAATTTTTTTGTGAAAAAAAACAAAAAAACTAGGAGCATTCTCTAATCTTTGTATTACGTGATTTTGATCCATATTGTTGCAATTTTATCAGATTTCTCCCGAGCAACTCTACTGCGCGTTTAAACGCTATATTTAAATAAATTTACATCAAAAATGAAAAAATTAAGGCAAAAGAATCGAGTTTTGATAAAAACAATAGTTTGTCCAATAACCATATCACAAAATTCTCAAGTATATTTTTCACCCTCTACCAAAAGTCACAGTGAAGAAGCCCAACTGCCCAAGGCTTTGCTTTCAAGCAAAAGGACTGAGGAGAATACAAAAAAAGGTTCAGAATAAGATGAGGTCCTTTTCGTAAAGTAATGGGCGTCAGCTTTCGTCTTATAGTAGCCATAAAACGGCTATAAACCGAATCTCTGAACCTATTCAAATCAAACCAAATATAATTACCATAAAGTCCTCACTATTCCACCCTTTTTAACTTGAATAATCTTTGGTAATTTAGAGATAATCATTTCCTTTGTTTGGTTATGCACCGATGGATTCACCTAATTAAGATCCTATTTTCTCCCCTCACGTGCCTTTGGAACATGAAAAACCCAGTAACGGTTATTTCTTTTTTGAAAATGGAACTATGGAGAACTGTAGAATGCATATCAGCTGAATCCAATAATAAATCCCACTCATAAAAATTGATTAGGTGGAAGGACCAGATGGTAATGCGTAACCTAACTCACTATTCCGTTTATTTTCACTTTCCAACTTTCATTTCTTTGCCCATGTTAATTAATTTCATGCTAAGTTACCACAGACTTATTTAGAAGAATAGAAAGTTTAAACATAAATTTAATTTTTTTAAATTTTTTATGAGAAAAACACTATAACAAAAAAAAAAAAAAAAATTGAATCAAAAACCAATAAACAAACAAAAGTTCAAAGATTTAAAGAGAATTTGTCATATTTGCTCCTTGAACCTTTTATTAGTGAAAAGTTATTCACCATATTTTTAATTTTAACAAACGATCCCTCAAATTTAATAATGGATGACACCTCAAATCTATTATGAGTGTTAAAATTTAGCCAGAAACTCCTCATACATGTTACTTGAGCTCTTTTAAAGGAAGAAATTAAATTTCATAACGGCTCAAACACATTGTATCGTTATACATTAAGGTGTTTCTTTTAACGCAGAATACAATAATAGGTTAAAAAATACAACATTTTATAAGTCATGTTTACCAAAATTAAAAAGTTTAGGAGTTAGTTTGTTAATTATGTTAGACTTCAAGAGGCCAAAGCATTAAATCCTATTGAAAATAAAATACACATCGCCCTTCAAAATAAAAAAAAATAAAAAAAAGACATATATAAGGAGGGGTAAACTGTAATTTGAAATGAACAAATCCGTAGTCTCTCATCTACTCTTACCATTATTCTATTATTTTTTTGAACGTATACTATACTCAGCTAGAGAGAGAGAGAGAGAGAGAGAGAGAGAGAGAGAGAGACGTTGGCATGGCATGTGGCGATTGGCAGTTACCCTCCCCTCACCTTTGAAAATCAAATCTAGAGAGAGAGAGAGAGAGAGAGAGAGAGAAAGAAACATAATAGATAAAAATTTCTTTCCGAAATCAAAATCAAAATCATAGGGAAAAAGAGACCCCCTATTTCTCGGCAAAACAAATAACAATCTAATCTATAGCCGTCTTTAGCCATAATAATATATAGAATACTCTCTACTGAATTATTATTACGAGCATCACCAGCACCAGCTTCAGTTCATCATTGCCAAAGGGGCTCTGAAATTCTCAGCTTGGCCATGCCTTGCCATGCCTGAAAGCCGAGAATCCCAAAAGGAATAAATAAAGCAACGCTGGCTCATTTCCTGTGCTGGTCGGTCGGTTTCCAAACGAGCTTGAAAGTTCAAATGGAAGCTCTCGATAAGAAGGAGATGATAAGTGTTCAGAAACGGAAAGATGGGTTTGAAATTTTGGGCGCTAACAACAGCAACAACAACACCGAGTCGTCGCTCACTGAGTCGAGCGAGACCAGCTCGGAAGTCTCCACTGAGGACGTCAAAGCCAAAAGGTCGTTGTCATCTTCTTCGCCGCCGCGCTTGGGTTGGCCCATTCGCAGAGCCGATGTTCGTAAAAGCTCTGTTCTTGGTGATGAAGCTCGAGATGGGAAAAAATCCCTCATTGATTCCAAGTTCACTGATTTGAGTTCAAAGATTTCGGGTTAGTTTCTGTTTTATTATTTTTTGAACAATTGTGTGCAAATGGCAAATAACCTTTTCTTGTTTGATCTCACGAAGATTTTAAACTTTTTTTTTTTTTTTTTGAAGGTCACGAAGATTTTGAATTTCCGTTCAAATTTTCATTTCTACGAATGAAACGGGCCAAATATTTGGAATCTTTGACTGTTTTTTCTCTTTTTTAACAAAGCGTAAAAGTTTAAGAGTAAGATGCGATTTTTCACCTTTTTCTTTTGATGTTAAGAAGTACTATTTCGCATTGTGAAAATCCGAAATTTGAAAATTGTCTTACTTCCTTTTATCTGGAACCGCACGTTATACTTTGTTATTTAACTTTTATCTTATCTGGTTCTGGGTCTGAATTTTACAGTAAATACTAAATGCCCAATTGTCAATTTTTGATATTTTTTTTTTTGGAAAATTAAACAGAGTTTGAAATGATGAAAGAGAGATTTGCAAAGTTGTTGCTTGGAGAAGACATGTCAGGGTCTGGCAAAGGGGTTTGCACAGCTTTGGCTATTTCAAACGCCATTACTAATCTTTGTGGTAAGTATTATGGTCATTTAGTTAAGTTTTCTATCTACATTTTGCTATTTTAGTATTTTCAACTGATTTTATTTATTTCCATTTTCAAAGCTACCATTTTTGGGCAACTGTGGAGATTGGAACCTTTGCCTTCAGAGAAGAAAGTTATGTGGAGAAGAGAGATGGAATGGCTTCTTTCTGTTAGTGATCACATTGTGGAATTAATTCCCTCTTGGCAAACATTCCCTGATGGAACTAAACTTGAGGTACTTTACTTGGATAATTGACAAATGCTTTGGATTTTGATTTGTTGTTTATATTTGACATTTGCAAGCCAAGCATAAGAAAATTTTAGCAAATTTTTCCACAAGAAAGTAGAAAACTTAAATTAATCCAAGATTTCTCGTCTTTTTTGTGGATTCTGCATTTTGTAGGTTATGACTTGCAGACCTAGATCAGATATGTTTATCAATCTCCCCGCTTTGCGCAAGCTAGATAACATGCTTCTTGTAAGTTCTTAGTTCTAAACTAGTTTTATCATCTGCTGTTTTCAAAATTGAGATGAAATTCTGAATTTATGATTATTGATGAGCCCTTTATTTTATATACAGGAAATACTAGACAGTTTTGTGGAAACAGAATTTTGGTATGTTGATCAAGGGGTTGTAGCGCAAGATGCAGACGGGTCAGCCTCGTTCCGTAAATCGCTGCAGCGGCAAGAAGAGAAGTGGTGGCTACCTGTGCCTCGTGTCCCTGCCGGTGGCCTGAATGAGAACTCGAGAAAGCAGTTGAATCACACCCGGGAATGCACCAACCAAATACTGAAAGCTGCAATGGCTATCAACAGCATTACTTTAGCAGAAATGGAAGTCCCTGATTCATACTTGGAAGCTCTTCCAAAGGTGAGAAACAAAAGCTAGAATTTTGATGGCCTTGCCATGTTTATAATCTTCAATTGAATGGAAATTTTACTCTTCTTGTTGTGTGTTCAGAGTGGGAGGGCCTGCCTTGGAGACATTATCTACCGGTATATTACATCTGATCAGTTCTCTTCAGATTGCCTGCTTGACTGTCTTGACCTGTCATCGGAACATGTTGCTCTTGAGGTTGCAAACCGCGTTGAAGCCTCAATATACATATGGCGTCGAAGAGCTCATTCGAAACCACCAACTCATCCAAGCCGTTCCACTACAAAGTCATCATGGGATATGGTGAAGGATCTAATGATCGACGGAGATAAGAGGGAGTTGTTGGCGGAAAGAGCGGAAAGTCTCTTGCTTTGCTTGAAGCAGCGGTTTCCTTCTCTCACTCAAACTAATCTAGACACCAGCAAGATCCAGTCCAATAAGGTAAAACATCATTAGAAGTCCTTTTTTTTTTTCAATTGAATTTTGTTTTTCAATTGCATTTGTTTTCTTATACCAATACAATCCCTTTTTCTATAACTTTGCAGGATGTTGGAAAGTCGATTCTTGAAAGCTACTCGAGAGTTTTGGAGAGCTTGGCTTTCAACATTGTGGCTCGTATTGATGATCTTCTCTATGTGGATGACTTGACAAAGCATTCTGATAAATTGTCATCAGCTCCTAAAGTGAGTGTAATTACTCACAAGAAAGTCTCCATCTCTTATCCAGTGCCTGCCTCGAGCACTCCATATAAGACAGCTTCTACCACTCCAAGCTATTCGCCTGCACCGCTTATTAGCCCCGCCAGGGGAGAGAGAACTCCTTTTCTCCACAGCAACAACAACAATAATAACAACACAAAGCCTCAGCGCCGTGGCTTTGGAGTAAGAAGAGTCCTGACGAATTATCTCGGCGTTGAGACAAAACCGAGGATCTGTGGCAATTCAAACGAGGGATCTGCTCCAGTAACGAGCTCGTGTGGAAAGGAAAATATCGAGCATCGAAAGGAGCCAACAGTCCGTCATAACGGGTCTAAGTTGCATAAGAAAAATGGTTAAAGTTTCTGTCTATTTGGGAGTGATAGTTATAGAATTTACAGAAGTGAGGAAGGTTCATGATAGGAAATTATTGGGACTTAATTGTATTGGTTGAGTTTGTTGTACCTTGTATGCATTTGAATGTAGTTAAAAGCAGAAAAGTAATATCATAGACATGAGATTGCTTGTTCAAAAATATGTGCAAATATCATCTTCATCTTTTATCTTTCAATTTGGCTCCCGTATAAGGAAAATCTATTAGACTATTTTCCAGTTTTCTTTTCAAGTTCAAAAACTTCGGAAATTTTTTTTTAAAAAAAATGGGGCATTCCGAGAATTGAACTCGGGACCTCTCGCACCCTAAGCGAGAATCATACCACTAGACCAAATGCCCGTTTTGATGAAGAATTGTTCTATATTATATATATTGATTATTACATTGAAATATGCACCAGATATCACGTGCTTCTCTTTAGTGAGAAACAGGTCAACAACGTCCTATTGAATGGGGTGGTTTTAATTTATTTCTAATCAAAATTTTGAACTCAAGTCAAATGAATCAAACTGGTGCAAAGAAGATTACTAGCTAGAGTGGTTGGCTAGCTGATCTTTAATCTTTAAATATATGTGTGTGTGTATATCTATGTATGTATGTAACTGAAGCAATTGCAAAGGATCTTGGTGGCTGGTGTAAAATTATTCACATTCTCAATATAAACCTTCACAAGGTTTTTGTTGTTTTTATTTTTTTTTGACAATCTTCTCGAGTTTATTAGTGTATAAATTACTTCACGGGAATAAAATGCCAAATTAACACAGGCTCCATTTTTAAGTTTGAAGGGAATTAAGAGGCTTATTAACAAGGCAAAGATGACTTAAAATTAATAAATCAGTGAAAAAGTTGTCATATACCAGTTACCACAAAAATAATATGGAACCAACCAAAAGCTGGTTGGTGAATGTGAAATATACTGGAGAAGGACTTGATAAGCTGATGCTTTTCAGACTTGTGCTAACTAGCATATAATTAGGCGATGATTGGAAGTCTTATCCGGGCAGCATTTTGTATTATCTTGCTTGATCATTGTGCATCATCTCTTATTCATTTGTGTAAAAGCACATACCAAAAAAAAAAAAAAAAAAAAGAAGATAGAAACTCATACATAGCAATAAGTCAATTTTTTTTTTTTTTTTTTATATATAAATAATCCTCGCTTAACAACAAGGTCGTTGGAGTATAGTGGTTAGAAAGAAACGGCGCTTTTTTTTTTTTTAAAATTTTTATTTTATTTTTTCCTCCCTAACGTTATAACGCTTCCTTGTCATGTCTAAAAACAGAAAACTTAAAATTAAAAACAGAAAGCCAAGTATCATCTCATCAACTTACTTTATTTTTCTTTTGTCAGATTTACTTTTTGGGTACGTTTAGAATTTGTTTTAAAATAATTTTATTTTTTATATGAAAATAAAAATAAAAACGTTTTTATTTTTATTTTGGAATCATTTTTAAAAATGCTTTTGATAGTTTTATTCTGAGATTATTTTCAGTTTAAAAAAACTGAAATTGTGTTTAGTGATTTAATTTTTAAAAATATGTAATAATATTTAAAATAATAATATATTAAATAAATATATTAAATAAACATTATATACATAAAAATTAGAGAAGAAATGCGCAGTCACAATGGAAATGAAAATAATGCTTAATCGTTTTCAATTTTACTTATTTTTGAGAATAAGTAAAAAACGTTTTTAATTTTTATTTTTCAAGAAATGGGTGCCAAACACATTTATGAAAGTATTTTCATTGTTTTGTTCTTGAAAAACGGTTTTTAGAAATGATTCTAAACAGACAATTTCTTTTTCCATTGATCTTTTCGATTTTGTTTTTGTTTTTTAATTTTAGCAAGAAATCGGAAATTAGCAAATTGGCAATCTCCTTCTATTCTCCGCAACTGTAGCACCATATTTCTGAGCTGAAAGCCTAAACTCTCAACTCCCGAAACGCCACTTTACTTTACTCACTAATCACACCCAATTAATCGCATCACCACCTTTCAGATAGAAAAAAAAAAGCTCGTCTCCACCGTCGGATGCCCCGCAAAATGTCATCTCACGGCAGCAAAACCAGCGTCCACATCACGGCCCTGGACGGCATCGTGAACGTGAATTCCCTCTTCACGTTGGCCGTCTTCATCGGGCTGACGTGGAACCCCAAGGACCCCACCAACTCCCTCATCGACGCCGACGCCGACGCCAGCTGCACCCCCGGCCCCTCCGTCGCCGAGGATCTGGTCGCCTTCCATGTCTACTCCTTCAGCTCCTTCCTCTTCTCCAGCCTCGTCGCCGTTGGCCTCAAGCAGGCCATCCGGATCTGGCGCAGCCCCCACTGCCACCCCGGCGCCGGCGGCGGCTTCCTCTGCCGCATCAACAAGAACTTCCTCCGCGTCGGCATGCTCGTCTCCGGCATCGGCTCCGTCGCTGGCTGCGCCTTCCTCATGCTCGCCCTCATCAACGTCGTCCAGATCAAGCTCGGCACCCTCGGCTGCGGCTCCTCCTACACCTACGCCGCCGTCGTCCCCCTCGTCATCTTCGTCCCCGCCGCCCTCCTCATCTACATCCTCATCGTCCTCTTCGCCTTCTTCAGTCGCTAACTAGCTAGGGTTTCGTTTCTCATCTCTTCTGACGATTCGCCATGTATAATTGTTAGTTATTAATCCACTTAATTAGCTTAATTAATTAACTAATCAATCAAAACTACATAGTTTGAGTTTGTTTCTAATTATCCTTGCGAATTTTTACTTGGAGCTTAAATTGCTTTAGTGGATTGTTTTTGTGCAAAGCAAAGGATGCATAATATGTATGAATGATCTTTCTTTTTCTTGTGTTATATATGATAGATTATGAGCACTAGGATAATGTTTCTTGCTAGAGAACAATAATGGCCGACTCAGATGAGCCTCTTAAGGCGGTGCAGAATTATAAATTATTGGTGCACGAAATTGAGATATTTGTTTTTAAGGAAAAACAATGTTAATGGGCACTATATCTATGTATTTCACTTTATTCTTTCTATGATAAATAATTTGATGCAAAACGTAGTGTTAGCATGTGAAGAACTAGAAAATGGTATACTCTAAATGGCTTTTTTTCTAGAAGAGCAATATTGGGGCAGAAGAGAACTGAAATTGGTTTCTGCTGTGTTGTCAGCTGCTTATTGAAAGGACTTGTATTTGTACTCAAAGTTGCTGAATGGCATAAAAAAAGCTGGTGTCTAATAGTGGCTTAAAGTGGCCATGTGAAAACCACTTCTGAAAGATAGTAGGTGCAGTAGCAATAACACATTAAAACCTCTTTTCCCTAGTGCTACCTCCACCATGACTCATGGGTTTTGTTTTGTTTGTAATCATTTCTTGAGTTTCTTCTTTCACTATAAAAAGGCATGAGATTTGGCCAATGCTCACACACTGCAAATTGAAAATGGATGTTTTTACAAAATGCATTTGCTTTCTTGCTCTTCTTGTGATTTTGGGCGTCAGTGAGCTGAATCAGGCTCATGGTGCCGGCGAGTGTGGGAGAAGTACTTCCCCTGACATGGAGGCTTTCAAACTGGCTCCTTGCGCGTCTGCCGCGCAGGATGAGAATGCCTCAGTCTCCGCCCGCTGTTGCGCTCAGGTGAAGAAAATTGGCCAGAACCCGAGGTGCCTCTGTGCCGTCATGCTTTCCAACACTGCTCGGAGTTCTGGGGTGAATGCGGAAGTGGCTATCACCATCCCTAAGCGCTGCAACATTGGAGACCGTCCTGTCGGTTACAAGTGTGGACGTATGTAGACATAAGTTATTTCTTCCTAAATTCAATAACAATCTGTTTCGCTTCTTGTTCTGTTCTTAACACTTCTTGTTCTGTTTTGCAGCTTACACATTGCCTTGAAGACTGAAGACTTTAGACCATACGCGAGTGGTGGTCCTATGCTTATTCAGTTTGGTTCAAAGATGTGCTTAAAATTGTATCTTTTCGGTTACTTCTTATAGCTATTTGCTTTGACATCCAGACGCCTAAAACATAAATAAATGCCTGGTGTGTTGAACTGCGTTTCCTTAAATAAGCTTCTTGTTTGTCTCTACTCTTTGCTTACTAAAGCAGCTTTCTTGGGAATTTGTCTTTATGTAAAAAAAAAAGAAAAAAAAGAAAAGAAAAAAGAGTACGTGAAAGATTTTATGTCCTGAACTGGCAACACTCAATCTTCAAAGTTTAGGCTAATATTTTCATGTCCATTAGCAAGTTTAAACTGATCAAGTCCTGAATGACCATCCAGCTCTAGTATCTTTGTGAATGATCTTCAAAGTTAAGGTCAGTCTCAAAGGTCATTTTGTTTAAATATTTGTTCAGATAAGTAGAGTTAAAATAGAAAGAAAGAATCTTTTAAGAATTGAATAGGTTTAGAAGAGACAATTCTTATTGATAAGGATAAACAACACATATTATCTTGTCTCGGCCATGGATACAAGGAAATCAAAGCAAAAAATATTCAGAAGTTATTGACAAGCAACCTTATAACTGACTCAATGGACACGATCAACCAAGTAACCCTGCAGGCATTTCATGCAATGTCAACTGCTTATCAAACATGCTCTAGTCATTTTAACAAATCTTTCCTTCAAATAATGGAAATTAATATGGTCTTCCATTAGAGTAAAAATGGGGTGAAAAAGAAAAGGCTTGGTTTGCCAAGAGAAAATGATCAACCAAACCCATTTTAATATAACCTCAAGTATCCAAGGTGCCTGATATTATGCCATATAAACAGATCAAACGGGTCCTACCTTTTTTCTCTGCCCCTTCTCAATGACAAAAGGCTACCAACTAGCTAAATGGTTAAAACTGGTATAATCATGTTAATCTTAAAACTGCTAGATAATCCTATACCAGTTTCATAATGACCTACAACCAGGATATTAACATAAAAAAAAAAAAAAAAAAAAAAAAAAACTTGATTTCTCCTCGACGCGTCTGATACAGTATACTGATCTTCAGCTACTCAAATCTGGAAACATAATATAATTTTCTCCACAACAATGAGGAAGTTAATAACCTTTTTAACCCTTCTTGTTGTTGTGGGCAATGATGGCCTTGATGGGGTTTATGGGGCAAGCGATTGTGGGAGTTTTACAGTCCAGAGAGCAGCTTGGAAACTAGGCACTTGTGAATTAGCGACAAAAGCAAGAAATATTGACGTCCCAGTTAAATGTTGCAATCTGGTGAGAAGTATGGCCCAGAATCCGAGATGTCTTTGTACTGTTGCGCTTTCGGAGACGGCTAGGAAAGTCGGGGTGCTCCCACATATTGCCCTCGATGTGGTCAAGCGCTGTGGTGTTAGTAATCGTCCAGTGGGTTCAAAGTGTGGAGGTCTGTCTTTACATATGTTATTGCTGGTTTTATGTTGTAGAGTTTGTTGCTTTCTGTTTTCTTTCCTTTGGTTGATGTATTTTTTTTCCTCTCTGTTTGCAGCTTATATTTGGCCTTGAAGATTGAAGATGATGAGTAAAAATGGCTCCGGATGTTGTGGCTTGGTTGGTGTGGTTATTGCTTCTTTGTAGCAGCGTGGTGTGTAGCAAATAATTTATAGTTATTTCGGTAACCTAGTAGTTTAGCACTTTATCGAGTTGTACTCTCCGTGTTCGAAAAATTCTATTAGATATTTTGTAGTTCAAGAAAACCTCATTCAAATACTTTCAAGGCGCGTTTTTATAACATGAAATGCTCTTTTTGCCTTCACCTGTAAATGAAAATGTAAGTTATTTAACATTCTAAAGAGAGAATATAAAATCTAACTATTTCATATCTTTTTTCTTAGTAATATCTAATGATATCTAATATCTGATGATATATTTCTTCTGAATAATAAAGTACCGCAATAACATTATCCAAACAAAGAAAATACCTACTACCTACTTAATAGAATATTAGGACAAAAGACGAGTGGCCACTAAGGATACTTAGGCCTCGTTCACTTCGCGGATTCGAGTTTTCGATTCGAGCTGAGATGTGACATTTTCTGAGAGCTTTTTACTGTAGCAGAAAATTTTGATGTGACATTTTCTGAGAGCTTTTTACTGTAGAAACCTAAAACTAAAAACTCGAATCGGTGAAGTGAACGAGGCCTTAGTAAAATTTTAGATTTAGATTCTTTTGTACTACTGTGAATTACTAGACATTTTTAAATTGATGTCTCTTAAAATAGATATCTTTTGTAATTATCTCGTGATAAATTATATATCATTTCATTGACAGACAGTTAAAAATGGGTGTGGTCACTTTCATTTCGTTCATTTGAATCACAAATCAAATTTTTACTATAGTATTTTCTCTCATAAAAATTTAAATTTAATTTTTTATATTACAATATTTACTCTCATATGAATTCATTTTTCAATTCAAAGTAAAAATTTGAGTCGGCGAAACGAAAAGAAGCCCTTATCTAATTCATGTTATATAAGATATGCATTAGTATCGTCACTGTATATCTTACATGTCATACGTAAGATGATTGTTCAAAGTTTTGATTTCTATGTTAGCATTTTGAATAGAATTGACATTCAATCGCAATTGCTGTTTAAATAAAAATACAATTACGGAGGCAGAGGCTGAGATTAATCAGATACTTGGACCAAAGAAGGCCTTGTTCATGGTATTGGGTCCAACACCTGTCTTATAAAGCTGGATCTGGGTTGTAGAACACCAAAATTTAGGCCTTTCTAAGCCCTTGGTCAGGATTTGCTAGCTAAACTAGGGGGGCTTACTTTAGCCCTGTTTGTTTGTATAACCTTTTTCAAACAGTTCCTCTTACAAAACTTTTTAAAAAAAATTAAATTTTTATTCAAACTTTCTCTTCAAATCTTAAACCAAACATGCCATTAATTTTCAAGTTGTCGTGGTCTGCATTTACCTTGACCACAGTTTTATCTGGGAGGATATCATCATCCCATTTTGCTTCCTAATGAATGAAATGATTGTACTTGTTGAAAGTTGATCGCGTCAAGAAGATGAGAAAAGACAGCAATCAAAAAATCACATCTAAGGGTTCATTTGGTACGAAAAATTTAAATTAGAGTGATTTTAATCACGATTTTAAAATCAGAATCATGATTCATTATTTTAGGTTCAAATTATGATTTTGAAACCATAATTCAGAATCAGGAGTTTGAATCACCTTGAATCAAGAGAGGGGTGGTTTTAGAATCATAATTTGAGCTAGTTTAAAACATCACATTAGATTCTGAATCATGATTCATAATCATCCAAACAATTGATTCTGAATCATGATTCAAAATTACTGTAAACAAACACTTATCTTGAACCATGATCCAGAATCATAATTTTGAATCCATCTACTAAACGTACTCTAAATCAAAAAAATGAAAGCATGATATATATATATATATATATATATTATGCTTTCACTATATATATATATATATATATATATAACGACAGTTTTTGAAAAATAGTAGTCTAATTTCACTCGGAAAGAAGAAAAAAAATAGAGTTAATCCCATAAATGGTCTCTAAAATTAGCCTCAATCTTACTTTAGTCTCTAATTTTTCAAATATGGCAGATTTGGCCTTAAGATTTTATTCTATTTTAGTTTCGGTCATTCTGTTAACTTTGTGTTAAATATTTGACGGAATCTGTAAAAATTATGAACTAAAATTAGAAACATATAAAGTTTAGAAATTAAAACAATATAAAAACCAAAAGTTAATTTCTATAGATAGAGCTAAAATTTTAAATGTTTCTAATTTTAAACTCTAACTTACACAGATTTCATTAAATTTTATTGCCTAGTTAATAAAAAGACCAAAACTGAAACAAAATAAAATATTAGGGACTACCTATGCGACATTTAAAAAATTAAGAATTAAAGTGAGATTAAATATAAACTTCATAGACCTTTTATGGAATTAACCCAAAAATTTATACATTATTGTTAGACTACAGTTTTTCTAAGACCATCGTTAAAAGTTGGAGACAAAATTATAAAATATATTTTTAGTACAAGGATGTTTAATATGTGAACAAAAAAATGGAAATACTAGAATGTATTTATTTATTTAGTTATTTTTAGTGGGGAGGGTTTACAGAGCCCTTCTACACCCCTTGAAAAAAAAAAAACCAGTAAGAACAAAAAAAAAAAAAAAAAATCAGAAGCCCAATACTTCTTTGCCCACTCATGAAGATCCTAATTCCTACATTAATTCCTATATGTAGAGCCGGTTAAAAGATGAATATACATAATTTTCCTTTTTTATCTACTGCGTTTTTTTTGAAGAGGACAAGAACTGAAAAGAGTATCTTTGGGAGGAGGGATGAAAGGGATAAGAGTGAACCAAGTTGTCGTTGACTGCATATAAAATTTAATCTGAACTCATAGACAAAGCCGAATCTTTTTTTCTTTGGTTAGTATATAGAAAACCATGAAATTCTATCAATTGACGCCTTACAAATTTACTGGTTACTTTTAACAATATTAATGAGACGAGCATCTTTGCAATATTTCTTCAGCCTTTTATGTGATTGAGATATATTTAAAAGCCATTGTTGCGTACATAATCTAGCAGTATTTGAAGCGACTCTAGAGAATCTCCCACCTTAAATTTAAAAAAAAATATATTTAAAAGCCAGTACACACAGTAAGATGATCTACTATACCGCTATCACAAAGATTATATCCATATGAAAATTACTTGTCCAACTCATGGATTTAAGTAGAATATTTAGATTCAATCAATATATGTATTTGAGAAGCTTGGCAGATCCACAGATTTTCGCATTTTACAAAATTTGAGAGGAAAAGGGACACATTTACCTCTTTGAACATCTCAGCAGATCTCTAGACATTTTCTTAATTTGAATAGAACGCAGTCCCTTCTAGGGGCTATAATTGGTAGCATAGGTAAACTATATGCTAAGGAAAGTAATACATAGCCTTTGCAACAACAAAACAAGCTTTCCAATAATCCTAAAATCACTAAACAACATAGGAGGAAATTAGAACTTAATTCATCAAAAAATAAATTCTTGACTTTACCTACTTCATCTTTCAGAGTAAAACATGATATCATAAGCTAGCGCTTTTGTTAAATTGTGTGATCCAATCTCTATAGACTAACTTTATTTATTTTTGTTTTCATGGATATATTAATGCATGATTAATCACTAACATAAAATGCGACACACATTGCATGCATTCTTCACCTTAATTTGTTTCTCTATACAAACCACCAAACTATATATAGCTAGCTAATTAGCCAACACATTTGCCTTGCATTGAGAGAAATTAATTAAGAAATGGAGTTAGTTTCAATGAAATGCACTCTCGTAAGAGCTCTCCTCTTCCTTGTGATGCAAGGCATGTGTGGCATAGACGGGGTTGATGGGGCTACTGGGGTGTGCGGCAAAAATCCTTGGGCGATGTTAGACAAGCTTGGTCCCTGTGCTGCTGCGGCACAAAGCAAGAACGTCTCGGTGTCACGGAAGTGCTGTGATCAAGTTAAGGTCATAGATAGATGATGCCTCCGTGCCATTATGATTATACTCTCTAAGCAAGCTCAGATTCTTGGTATCAAGCCCGAAGTTGCAGTTGCTATTCCTAAACGTTGCAAGTTTGCCCACCGCCCCACCGGTTACAAGTGTGGAGGTTTGTATCTTTACTAAGATTTTCTGTAACTTTTTTTTTTTTTTTTTTTTTTCATACGATGTAGGTTTTATAATTTCTATTTTACTAATAAAAAATAAAACTGTCAGGAATCGAATTCTGATGGACACACACGCTATAACCATTTGAGTTTAACTTTAAGTGGCTATTTTTTTTTATAATTAAATTAAAGTCAATAATTTTGTTTACATCGATGTGCTAATAATTCTTTTTTTCTTTTCCAGCTAATCTTAAGACTAGTTGTAATTTATATGTCTTTTTGCAGCTTATACCGTGCCATGAAGACGCAATCGACTATTGTGGATTTTACAAACGATTGTGGCTTTAACATAATTATCATTAAAAAAAAAAGTTATATGTAACAGTGTGCGGCTCTTTGTTTTCCCCCCTCATTTTCCTTTCCTTTTCTGGAAGGAAAAATATTAGAAGTTTCATTAATATCTTGCGATGTAATTCAACAAATATATATATTTTGATAGTTACTCGAATAAATCTATTATTAAATATTATTATTTTAACCGTAAAATACTAATTTAACGGTTGTTATTAATTATATAATTAACTAAAAAAAATAATGATAATTAATAAAATTTAATTCTTATCACATTATATTATTAAATTTTTATATTTAATAATAACCACTAATAAAAACGAAATCATTAAAAACAAGTATATATATATATTTAGCGATGATGTCAATATGTAACCTAAAATATCTCGGAGGAAAGACGAGAGATAAATTAAATGCGGTGTTTTTTTTAATTTTATTTTTATTATGCTGAATAAATTAAATGCGGTGTTTGGCGTTATTGTATATATAGTACGATGACGTGCATGTTTTGGTAATTGTTGGATTAACGCCAAATGCCAATTCTTTTCAAATTTTGGTCAATCACGTATATTGATCACGATGCAAGTATATAATAATATAAAAAATTTTGTACTTTGTTATTACTAGTGTGTATTTATACATATGAGAAAATCCCAATTTTTGACCAATAATGGTGAACAACGTAGCTCAATACTATTCATAAAGAAAGATCTTTTCAGGTCGAAAAAAACGAGAGAGAGAGAGAGATGGGGAAAAAAGAAGCAGAGAATAAGAACTTCTTGGATGAGAGAGAAAGATCGGATAGGTTCAAGTAAACCATGCATTAGCAAGGTGTCGGGATCATGGCAAAATGTATATAAATATATATTTATATATAAAAGAAAAATTTATAGTCTTGGTATTACGGCATACATAGAACAGTAATTAGATCATTAGTCCAACACAGAGAGAGTTTGTTACAAATACTTCTCGAAGAGGGATTATATGATCTATATATATATATCGTTTACAACATATTAACGTTTCTGTATATAATATAATGAGACTAATTTGCTCAGGAAATATAAGTATCGGGACAAAAAGAACCCAATACGTTTCTGAGCCCTGGAGAACTTCTACTAGCTAAGCTTAATATACTGTTGCTATACTAGTTCACCATTTTATTGTCGTACATACGTTTTTTTTGTCGTAGATATATCGTAGCATCAGAACTCCTACCTGCAACTCAGAATAAACAAATCGTAGTTGATTTCCGTCTGATAAAAAGGTAATTAACACATAACAAGTGGCAAAATGACATGATCACTCAGTTTTGAGAGATGTTTAAACTTTAAATACACTGAATAGTATATTTTCATATACGATCATTGACCTGTAGCTATCAAATAACCGACCACAAGAAAAAGAATGTACATATCTGAGAAGTTGCACTTTATATCTATTTTGACGTCGAAGAGAAGTAACACTAGAAATATGAGTTTGGTTTTCCATGTTAATCACTACAGGATATATATATATATATATATATATTTTTTTTTTATGAACATAATTACTAAAGGAAGTTATACATATCTATATGTTACCTTTGCTACTGTGGTGAGTTCACGTGTTACAGATAGGTGTCAGTAATAGAGTGAACCTGCAAAAATAAAAAATGGATAACTAGTTAAAGTCTTTTTATTACTTGAAGACTATGGTAAAATCCTTTTTCTTATTATTAATATTTGTCCAAATCTATAAGTATCATACCCTGCCACCAATTTCCTCTTGAAGCACTGTTTGAATTATTTCCATTTGGATCATCTTCGCTTCCATCTTTCTTGAACTGATTGAAGACAGAACAATAATAATAAATTAGTCTTCACTACAAAAAAGGAAAAAACTACAATTTTGCTTGTCACACATCCCAAGTTAATTAATTCAGCTGCTTTTTTTTTTTAAAGTTAATTTATGAAATGTCAGCCATATATAATTTATATTAATAAAATAATATTAGAGACACAAACTTTAATCCCAATTTTTATTAATTCATAAATTATCATTCTTTATCGATAAGTATTGCACTATATTATTATTAATTCGAAGTGACAATCTTTTAACAACTTTAACTCATGAATTGATGTAGCACTGGATTAGAGTTGGCGCACTTAATAATGTCAATATGCTCACAATATAGGCATCGCACAAAATAATGGGAAAAAAGGTATAAATGTTGTACGTACACTATGTTGAGATTCAGTGGTCCTAGTCCTTGGAGAATAATTTTCCTGGCCACCATAGTAGATCGATGAACTAAAATAGCAGGGCTCAGCCACTGTTTCATTTTGATAAATGGAATCTTTGCTTGTTACGCCACTGCTTTCACCTTTCCTGCTTTGAGAGTACATGTTTTCTGAAAAGAAATTGTACCAAATCACACTCAAATTTTTTTCATCACTTGTCCAATATTGCTACAAATTCATGAATCAGAATAGTTTTTGTACTCGTCGATATATCTAAAAGAGATTCAATGGAGGACATGAAAACTTTATCTACAATTCTCATACCACAAAAGTTAGTATTGTCTCAAGCTACCTTGTAAGGAATCATTTTTTTTACTTGAAAATAAGAAGCAAGTTCTCAAGTGGACTAAAATTTGCGTAGCTAAAGAAATGAAAGTCAATTTTTTGCTAGACCATAGATATTGCTATACATATTCATGAATCAGAATAGTTTTTGTACTCGAGTTATATTGTAACAAGTCATGTTTTTCTTTCTTTTTTTTTTTTTTTGAAAATTATAAGCATCTTATTTTTAAGTGGACTAAAATCTGAAGATAAAAAAATGACTTTTGAATTATTTTCATTTAGTTTGATAATCAGCGGTGAATATAACAAACCTGGTTTTTCGTACTTGCTACTTCCGAGTTGATTTCCAAGATGCCTCTTGTTCTCTCTTCCATGTACCTAATCATTTTGAATTTAAGATTGAGAAGAAAACAAAAGAGAAATGAAATCAGAGGTACTTAGAAGCACTTTATTATTAGCAATTTAGCACAACACCCTACATAATATTTCTATATTTACAAACGACAAAAGGTAAGTGCTGACAAGTGACAAGATTAATACGCCTCTAAATAAGAGACTCTATATAATACAGTAGAAAAGCAAGAGTTGGCAAAACAAATAATATATATATATATATATATATATATTATATAGAAACAGTATACAGAAAAGAATAAAAGAAATACTCAAACCAAAATCGAATTCTGAGCATATTCTAGAGATGATAAACAAGTTCATGCCCTATATATAGTGCCATACTATATAGTAATTAAGAACTGTACTGCAATATAAATCCCTCTATGATCCGGTACGGATTTGACATATGTTGGTGCACATATTATACATGTCAACATTCGCAAAGATCTCATCGTAAAACTTTCATTGCAATACCATGAAAACCCATAAAAAAAAAATTCGTCTACCATATATCAATCGGAAACGATAGATACTAAGCCAAATCTCACTCCAAAAAAGAGTAAAAAAAACATGACCCGAAGAGAAAAAAAACAAGTGAAGCAAATCAAAACCATGCAAATACATGGTTAGATCATGAATAAAAAATAATAAAAAAAATTACCGTTGAGGGTGGTGGGAAAATAGAGCCAAACAATCCAGTAGTGGAAGAGGAAGAAGCAGAATTAGAGGAGTCCTTGGGGCCAAAGAGATAATCCAGTGAAGAGTAACCATGACCGACAACATTCTTGTTGTTGTTGTTGTTGTTGTTGTTCTCCATAGTAGTAGTGAAAATAACTGGCTAGTTATAAAATTAGTACTAACTATACAGTACTGTCGGCTTTCTTTGTCAACCAACGAACAAAACGACTCCTTTGATAGATATATATCCCCTAAATGCCAAAGGCAACAAATAGCAGAATTTGGATAAGATTTGCAGAGAAAGAAACAAAAGTGGTATAAATTTCAAGGGAGAGCTATCGAGGCAGATCATATAGCAGAAAAGCACGTGAAGATTGCAGATGTGGAGGGAAATGGAAGGGTCTCAGCTATTTATAAGCCCCAAATTATGGTCGTTGGATGCTGCCCCCCATGTGCCTTCATTCAATTCAATTCTATCTTTGCTTACTACTTTTTCCTACTTTTTTTTTTTTTAAATTTTTTTCCGAAAGAAAAAAATAATAAAAAATTTAACAGAGCAAAAAGGAATTTTTTTTTAATATCAATAACGATAAACTAACAGATACCAATATTTCTTTAACTAATGCTTTTTAGTTTTTAGTAGGACTGAAGTAATGTACTTCATTAGTCATGACTTAGTGATAATATACCAATATTTTGTTAGCATATGAAGAGTTTCTTCATAGTTTTGCATAAAAAAACTATATTTTACAACATATATTATTTCTTATCAAGTTAACATATATACATATAAATTTTACAGCACTTATTAATTCTTATCAAGTTAACATATATACATATATATATTTTACAACACTAGAAGTACTAGTGGTGTTTGATACTATACTAATAAAGAGGGAGCTGATTCATTAGTAGGCTTATATTATATTAATTATAGTGCTCATGGTAATCTCAAATATTTTTCTTTCTATTCGTAATTTTTCTCAATCTTCATTGAAAAAGAAAAATCAAACACTCTCCATGTTCCTATCTGCCGGCGCCACATGGGTGCATCACTTTTGTCCAAGTGGATATGTCGCCAGCTCTAAGCCCCTTTAGTCCACGTGTATGTATCCTATTTCTTTGACCTCTGCTTTTGTGGTCCATACAGTGAATGGTGGTGGACTGAAGAGAGAGAGAGAGAGAGAGAGAGAGAGAGAGAGAGAGAGAGAAAGTAGAGGCTGTTAGTCTTAAGACTCTTTCTCAAATTACCCAACCAACACAGAAGATAAACGGATAAGGTGTTTCGGCTCAACTTGGGCTTTACCTTTTTTGCGGATATGCCCCGCTATTCAAATAGTTTGACCCTTTTCACTATATTTATTTATTTATTAATTTTCTTGGTTCAATTATTCCTCAACTTTCGTCTCTAATTTCTTCTGATCAAGCAACCCCAATGAAGATACCATACAACGGAGATATTACTATTAGCTATCTTCCTCGCAAATCTTTGAAGAATCTAAACCGAATAATATGATATGGAAGATCAAAGATTTTTTTTGAGTATATTTTTGGTTTGATATAGAGAATCAGAGATTTCTCTTAACAGTTCTCCAGATCATAAAAAGTATTATTATTTTATATATGAGAGGCCATTACATTTTTGATTCCTTGAACATCATAATGTCTCTCTCTATGTGTTTTTTCCCCCCTTAAATTTTTCCTTTTTTTTAATGTTATAAGAAAATACAAATTGATGCACTTTAACATTAACGTCTATTTTTATAGATAAATAATGAGAGATGATGACTGATATTAGAAAAATCTAGTTAGTTAACTAGATTGACATCAACTAATCAACTTATTATCGATCAAATTCTCAACTCAAATTTTATTAGAAAAAGAAAAAAAATTACAAAAATAAAACGATCTTGACAAGGGGGAAAAAAAAAATACCAACAGCTGTAGCTCACAAAGTAATAAAGCCACAAAGTCACAGAGGAATACCAAGTAAGAATGGACACTATTCTGAAGAAAACATTAGTTAATGAGATTGTGATGCACTAAAGATCTCGAATCACAATAATTGAAGTGACAATAAAAAAGAAAAAAAAAAAAAGAATGATAACAAGAAAAGAATACAAAGTGATAAATGTGGGAGTAGATAAGTCCTCGACCCAAGTATATCTCTCGGATTCTTAATGCCAATTAGTACGTAAATTAGATGCCATGTTTTAGATTATTAAACCATATATATGGGATCTAGTAACTATAAAATGCCCTAATCCTTGGAAAAGCAACGGCATTTAACAACTTTGATCATACAAATCAACAATAAAGAGATAAGATTACTCATATGAAGACTTGGAATGCGCAAGTGTTTGTAATCAATTAGTTTGTCACTTGTATATCTTTAGGCATCAATTATGAATAATTTGACTTGGAATTAGATTCAGTAAAAGCTGACCATGAACTAATTTATGGTTAAGCAAAGACGTTCTGTCTTATGTGTGAATGCTCATGAGATAATTATCTCAAGGCATAAAATTAAAATGCTTCCAGTACTACTCATGTATTGATCAGGTTTCGAGAATTTTCCTTTCACTAGGTTCTTTTTGGATATAGCTCTTGCTAAGGATGGACACAAAATTTTAGCCAAAAAAGCAAAAAAAAAAAAAAAAAAAAGAAAGAAAGAAAAAAAGACGATGAACTTTCAATGGAAGGTGGTGACTATATTTCTAGAGTTTATTAATCTGGTCCATTTCTACGCTCATGGGGGATTGTTATGCTTTTGGTATATGCTTTAAATTCGTTATCCTTAACTTGTCCAAAAGTGAAGTACTTAAAGCTCTAGAAGTAAAATCTCATGAGTACTCTTTTCAGCCTTGCACATTGATTCGTTTATGGTCGGACGTAGTAATAGAGCTCGACCAAAGTTATATATATATATATAGATATATAAATGTGAAATACTTGATAGATGTATTAATATTATACTAATGTGTAATTTGCACTGTTTTCATGTTAAATTATTTTAGAAACTTCAAAATGGAAGATCAGATTCCGCTTTCTATCTACTAATTAATTAATTTCTTAAAAATTCCCAAATCTCTGGTACGGGCATATATATCTACCTAAGGATATATTAAAATTGAATCCCAAAAGTAACTATAATAAACATGCTCATCCCTAAATGACATTCATGTAAAGCCACTTTCCAAATAATAAACATGTGTCCTTATACGCTGTCGAGAACTTATTCGCGAAACGTCTTTAACCATTGAGATGCATCTATATATATTATTGGTTCTTCAAGCCAAGCGATCACCACTGAAGTGGATAAATATGAACACGTTTTTCTTTTTCTTTTTCTTTTTTGTAAATCTAAAGTAACACAGATATATTATATATTATTACAGATCAGCTAGGTATTGCCGGCGGCATGATCTCTACTTGTAACGTTCTGAGTCAAAATTTCCTGAATTAATTAATACAAGCTAGCGAGTTTGTTGGAGAATAAAGTATATTTATGTGGATGGATTTAACAGATCATATATGTAGCCACCCACTAGTCAATTTGCATCTCGGAAGGAAGAGTCAACATATTCTTTCTTGCCAAATAACGTAAAATTGCCTATTTGCCATGTCATTTCACGTATGTCATGGCTTACTTATGGTACCCACGTTGCTTTACATTTGGTCTATTTGTTGTGTTTCGGATTTATTCTAGGGATCCAAAACTGCTTTTTAATTTTTAGTTTCATAATTAGAATATAACTAATTAAATCGTATCATATCATCTCATAATAAACACAAAAGAGTTGGTTAAAAAGCAATTTAAATTTTTTACATGACGTTGCATAATTTAATTAGTTAGATACTAATTAAAACAATAAAATTGGACAATAAATTTGAGTGCTTGTTCTATATATATATATATATATATTAATGGAAAATAAGCTCTGACCTAGAATAAACTTTGCCTTGGGAAATATATCCTTTTAATATACGTTATTCCTCTCATTAATTAATTTGAAACTTGAAAATCTAATATGGTTTGAGGGTTAGTTTGATTCATAAATTGTTAGCTATATTCGACATTCTTGGATTAAGTACATTTGAGATGCATCTTGTATTTTACAAAGTATATGTTGGCAGACACGCATTGGTGGTTGGGATCACAAGTGTAACAAGAATAACCAGTACTTCCATTCTCTCTCTCTCCCACGGATGTATTCAAGGTAAAAAGTCATGGAAACGAAATTTTTTTTTTTCCATAGGTTAGTAAAAGTATATAATATAAATATTTCTTTTTTGTTTTTTAATGGGAAACTTTAAGATTGTATTGAAGTGACAAATCAACACGGTGGGCAACAGTTGGGAGAGACCCCGTCCAACAGGTAGAGCTCTCGGAAGACAAGCCGAATCCAGCTAAAAAGTGGGCAACCCCATTAACATGGTGGGGGCCGAAAAATACAATAACAGTCTAAATCAAAAAGGACATTACAAATGTTAAGAAATTAAGGTATCGGTAAGACACACAAAAAAAAAAAAAAAAAAAAAATTCACAATTTAAATCACAACTAATTTTTTTTATCACAGTATTTTCTATTATAAAAATTTAAATTTAACTTTTTTATTACAATATTTTTTTTTTCACATAAGATTCACTTCACAACTTAACCCGAGTTGTAAAAAGAACGTGCCCTTAGATTTAACACAAGAAACGATCCTGCTTGCATTGGATTCAGCACACGAGAGCTTCCAACCATGAGAAGCAATGAAAGCAAGAGCATCCCGCGCTGTGCGAAGCAGTGGTCAACAACCATAGGGGAGCACACACCTTCAATCTTTTTAGCGAGAGCCCCCGCGATCACTCCATCAGTAACTTGAACAATGGCAAGGGAACTCAACGAGTCCACGACTGCAACATCCACATTTAATTTGAAGGTACCATAGGTCGGGATAATTTTTAATAGACTCTTATTATTCATAATAAGCTACATAATTTTGATTTTGATCTTTTGATAAAAAATCACATAGCGTCATTGATAATTGCGATAATGCTCGACCAAAGGAATGTAACAATAATAGGAATAAGATTTACAAAAAAAGACGATGATGAGAATTATCATTGTAGCAAAAAAAATTTATTGTTATAATTTCTTACTAACATTTCGTTAACACGCGGTTTTCGATGGTTTTTGTGCTTCTTCTAACT